ATAAACTATACATGTGGCAAGCGGTGCAAACAACAATAGCAGGAGAAGAAGCCATTACTCACCGTGATTGATGAATGATTCTTACCACAGTTGTTTGATGAACTTGAGCGGAGCGAGAGAGAAAATAAACGGAACGAGAGAGAGAGAAAAAAAAAGGCACGAATGGAAACGCTAATGACAAGCTAACTGGTTAACGAATGCTAATGCGCTGCAGGTGCGCTGCACTCGCGGTTTTAGAATAAAAGTGAACAATCAAATTAATCAGATTAGGTTGAAAGATAATATCAGAAATATGGTGGGAATTAAGTTATATTTTATCACTTTAAACAACAGAGAGTGATAGTATAGATATAGATTCTACAGAAAAGCGAGGCTACACGGAGCTACAATCACAAACCAGCAGCATGGCAAACAGGAAGCAGGAATAACACTGTCCAGATTAATATAATATAATATAATAGTTATTATATATGAGTTGTCTGGAACGCAGCATTAGGTTAACATTTCAATAAACGAGCGTGTACTACAATTACGAGCCATTCTATAAGGTGACATTTCAGCACTTGACAAATGGATAGCAACTCCTAAGTAGCATTTAAAGGGTTAGTTCACCCAAAAATGAAAATTATCCCATAAATTACTCACCCTCAAGTCATCCTAGGTGTATATGACTTTCTTCTTTCAATCACTTTAATCTAGCTTGCACTCACTGTTGTAAACGGAAGCAGTTTCGGGCGGATGACCTATGAGCTCGGCGTTGCGTATGCTCCAACGTGGAAGCGCAGGGGAGAGATCAAAACAAAACAACGGTCAGGAATTAGAAGTACAAAACGAGGATTTGTAAAGAAGAATGTCGGAGGATTTCGATATAAGCCAAGAGGAGACTGGTTTTCCTTTGCTAAAGTAAGGAACCTTTGCTTCCTTTGCTCCTGTTAACAAACGTTGATTTTCACGAGACTCACCGGCGCATGCGCAACGCCGACCTCATACGTCATGCTCCCGGAGCTGCTTCCGTGTACAACTGTTGACAATTTGATTGACGCAGCTGGCAGAACAACGTGCTACTTTATTTCTCTCCAATACAGTAGGAAGTTAAATTAAGTTAAATATGGAGAATATTAACTGTGACAAGATGATTGACAGGCCAGTTTACAGTGGCAGGATGTGTGTAAGACTATGCGACAGAGCAGACCATTAAAGATGCAATTTTATGACGTGATTGTATGTCCCAAAGCTTGCCTACTCTTCTGCTAAAGTGTGTACTTTTTCTTAACCAAAAAAGTACATACTTTAAGGGTGTAGTATAAGTAGGCACATTAGACTGCAGCAACAGTTTGGAAGTTGTAATTTTTATGTGTGCTAAAAAAAGGGGGGAGCTGTGAGAGAGGAATTGAAAAAAAAAAGTTTGAGGTAAGCAGTTTTAAGTTTTAGCGCCATGTCGCATTGATCAACATGCCATTTTATATAGCATTTTTATTTGCTGGTCAGTAGACGTGGGTCGTAGCAGCAAACACACTGCGATGATCATGCTGAATTTCTGACACTGTCAGAAAATTATCGTAGGCTATCTTTGGTCGCAAGATCATGACAATGGCCATCTTTGAACCTCTCTCACTGTACGACATAGGACCATAAAAACTGTAATTTTGCCCCAGTATTCAAGTGCGGTTCATTCATGCATACTCATCTCCTCAGTGACTACTGGTGGAACTGCACTAAATTAGTTGGCAAAAACCAGCATCACTGGATCATATACGCTGGTATTTTGGCTCATTTCAGTTGGAGTGACTGTTGGACGTCCGAAAGTGAGTTTTGATTAAGTAACTTCTGTGCTGCTCGAGCCACAAACTGTTTCAGACGGTTCAGTCCGATTTGGTGACCTGCTTCAACTAATTCACCAAAAAAGACCCGGTTCAAAAGAATGATTTGTTCACGCCAATCCATCACGCTCTTTAAGGTCACGAGACCCTAGACTTTTGTTAGTACTTAGGATAGCAAAGTCCACTATAAAGGAGGTGTTGGTAATAGACTTCCTGATAATGTTCAGTCACGACTGAGCTTTGCCAAAACACACCTTGAAGATTCTGAGGCAGATGAGACTAAAATTTAATTATTTGGCCAACGCCAAACGATATGTCTGGCAGAAATCCAATACAGCTCCGAATCCAAATAACAGCATTCCTCCAGTAAAGCATGGAGGTGCTGATGTCCTGTTATGGGGTGTTTCTCTGCAGCAGGCACTGGAGGACTTGTCAGGATAAAAGGAAACATAATGTGGCAAAATACTGTCAAATTCTTGAGTAAAATCTGCTGCCCTCTGCCAGAAAGTTGTCAATGGGAAGAAGGTTTACCTTCCAACATGACAATGACCCAAAGCACACGGCAGAACTGAGCACACAGTGGTTGAAGGAGAAAAAGGTGAATGTTCTTGCATGGCCTTCAGAGCCCAGACTTAAACCCCACTGAAAATCTGAGGAAGGACATGAAGACTGCAGTCCACAAACACTCACCATCAGATTTAACTGAACTTGAGCAGTTCTGCCAAGAAGTGTGGACACATATTGCAAAGTCTAGATGTGCAAAGTTAGTAGAGACAAATCCCAACAGACTAAAGGCTGTAATTAAAGCAAAAGGTGCTTTTTTCAAGAGGTACGTTTTTATTTTATTTTATTTATTTTTTTCCTGACATGTTGGTGTTATATCTTTCACTTGGATGTTATCAGTTGCACTGAGTAAATACAGCTGGATAAAACAAAAACATCTTCATTCAGGGTGCAAAGCAACAAACTATGGTTATTTTAAAGGTGGGGTGATTCTTTTCTATACCCACTGTACAATGCATGTTTTTCAGCTTTTTGCTAGAATAATTTTTCAACCATTTTTTTCTGTCATTATTCAAATAAATCAATAAATAAAAATCCTTCACTGTGCATTCCTTTCTTATTCATCCTCATCTCTCTCCAGTGGATCTCTACACCTCTTCATTTGTCACTCTTGTTCCCTCTCTCTCTGATCTAATTCTGCTTTAATAACCCAAGCCCTCATTTTTCATGGTACTGATGGCTCTGGCAAGCATCAGCCATTAAACAGGGACTAATGCTCATGCTCAGTGTCTCCACTTACTAGTTGCCAAGGGGTCATCTTACGGTATATATCTGTGTAGCAGACACAATCGATACATAACAATACAGCACTGAAGATGAATATTACTAGTGTTGGCTAAGGCAAGCATCAATGTTAGCATTGCTCATACTTTTAAATGTTTCACCTAACACCTAAACCCCATTGTCACAAAACTCAAGAGGCAGAGAAAGAAGATGAACTGAAATGTGGGATTTATTGAATGGCAGGAATGCAGGTAGAGAACACTGCAGATCTCATTCTCTGTGAGGGGAGAGAGGAAGAGAAGAATGAATGGAATGGGTGTTTTGCCTGCTGCTGGGGTCTCTACACTATAAAGTAAATTTCACTGGCAAGACTCATTGAGTTCATTCATAATACAACACAGAGAAAGACAATCATTATTAGGAAGACAATAGTAAGATGCAATTAAGCTCTCAGCCCTTTGTGAATTTGTGTGCATTTGACCCACTGGCAGAAAGAGCAGGGAATAGGAAAGAGTGTTTATTTACAAAGAGCAGGTGAAAAGAGTCGGGTATCAAACTATCAAACTCTCATGCTATCAGCTACAAAAGACAGAATCAGTCCTTTCAAATCAAAGAAAAAAACCTACTCCGCTCTGCACGCCTGAATCTCGGAGAATGTATTGTTAGATAAATTTGCTCGTTTGTTGTAAAATGTTTTATATGCTACTTTGAAAAAAAATAAAAACTCACTGTGGATAAGTTAGTGTGTTAGAATCAAAGGATAACATACAGTAATATCTACAGTCATTTTTTTCCTAGCTTCACAAATGAAATACAAAAAAAAATAAAAATAAAATAAAACAGAAAACAGCTCCATATATATAACCTTAACACATTTAAGGTTAAAAAAAAACATTTACCACATATTCATGTACCTTTACATACATCTTAACATACAAAAGTTCTGTACACACACGCACACACATAATATATATATACACACACACACTGACAAATATTACATTTTAAAAAAAAAATAATAATAAATAAATGTGTGATAAAGTACTCCAATAATGGTCATAACATCTGTTATTTTAAACATTACTCAAGTAACTGATAATGGCAATAGTAAGGTTCAAAAGCATTAATTAGTTAATTTTAAAATGCAGAGGTAGTAACTGTCATCGTCATCATCATCATCAACTGGCAAGCAAACTTAACACCCCCAGATGATCTAGTTTGTCTCTGACTATGTTTGCCCACCCTTTATTAGCCAGTGGGTTTCTAGGGGACGGATGCATGATACCCTCCACTCTCACCGTGATACCTGCTTCTGCAAGAGCTCGTCGAGCGCGCTGCTCAGCTAGCTTGCCCACTCCGATCACCATGGAGACCCCCAGTGCTGTGACCACCTGACAGAGAGCACTGTCACAGCAGGACAAAAGGGCATCACGCTTCGCGGCCGGGAGCTCAGTTGGAGTTAGGTTCTTGCCAGACTCACTCATGAAGATGAGAGGGCACAAGTTGTGCACAAAACAGTGGCGGAAGAAGTTGTGAGTTTCACCGCAGAGCTCTTGGAAAAAGCCCCAGAAACGGGCCCCGCTCACTTCACTCTGAGTGCAGTCGAGGCCTGTGATCCGTTGTTCCTCTGCTGGACGGCCGACTGCTCCAGTGATCTTCAACCAACTGCGAACTGCCTTCACCTCACCAAACGGTACCTTGATAACGAGGAAGTAAGAGATCTGGTTGATTTTTTTGCTCTTCTCCGTTATCCATCACTATTTTTAAACTGTAAGAAATTGTTATGAAATCTCATACGAACAGTGTAAGAATCTTTAACAAGTTACAACAGTGACAACTACAGAAACTGGTGATTTTTGGTAGAACTCACAAATGCGGATGCTGCTAATAATAAGTGCAGCCACTATTGCAGAGACTCTTGTGTGCTTTACCTGCTTTTGTATTTACAAGTGTGCTCTTTTATATGCTCGTATACAATTCACAATCAACATGCTAGGACTTTCTTCTCAGATGTTGCTGTAGACTGCAACTTACCAAAAACAGTAATCAGGAGTGGTTGTCTGTCTGCGATTTTAAACATTCTCAACTGGGCAAAATGTTGCAGCAAAAGAGATTCGGTTTAAGATTCAAGATTCAAGCCCAGATTACTTAATTTAATTAGCCATAATTTAAAAGAAATAAAGGTAGAGTTGTTTGCTTGCATTGTGACATTTCACAAAATTAGATGAACAAGCTCCTCTCAAAAATCTTAAAAGTGATAGCTTATCTAAAATGTAAAAATTCTGTCATCATTTAGGCATGTCGTTCCAAACATTTTCTGCGGAACACAAAATAATATATTTTGAATAACAGTGGGATTGAAATAACATTAAACCCCAGTAACTTTGAATGTATTGACAAAAAAAAACAAAGACAAGCTAGGAAAAATGTGAAAGTTTAGATAATTTGTTTTGGAAAAAAAAAGACAAAAAGGAAGATATTATTATTAGTAGTAGTAGTATTGTTGTTGTTGTGCAAGCAACATTTAATGCTATGAATTCATGAATTTAAGACCTTCTGCTCCAATTTAAGACATTTTTAAGGCCTTCAATTGTGGAAGGGCGAATTAAGACCCACAGAAACCCTGTTCTTTACTGAATGTAGTCACAAGTAACATCATTACAACAAATAATACTGTGAAATCATAAAAAAGAAAGAAAATCTTCTGACCCCTGTTTGTGCCATGCCAAAAGGCCCTGGGTTCATGCCTAGAAAGAGAACGCTCTGCACTTCCCGACAGTATTTCTCCACATAACATCGATGTGTGTCCCAGGCGTACTCAAGCAGGTTGGAATGCATCTGTACTACAATGCACCACAGTTATTACACTATTTCATAATATTAGTCAACTAAGAGAACGCTCTGCCCTTCCCGACAGTATTTCTCCACATAACATCGATGTGTGTCCCAGGCGTACTCAAGCAGGTTGGAATGCATCTGTACTACAATGCACCACAGTTATTACACTATTTCATAATATTAGTCAACTGCTGTAGACGAAAGACATTTGAACTGCAGGCTTCATTGCGTACTGAATGGAGTGTGGAGCACCAAATGTGTGTCCCAGGCGTACTCAAGCAGGTTGGAATGCATCTGTACTACAATGCACCACAGTTATTACACTATTTCGTAATATTAGTCAACTGCTGTAGACGAAAGACATTTGAACTGCAGGCTTCATTGCGTACTGAATGGAGTGTGGAGCACCAATGCGAAATTATATATACAGTGGGTACGGAAAGTATTCAGACCCCCTTCAATTGTTAGTATTTCTTTTAGTTTATCTTTGCTTTCAATTTTGACTGTAATGTTTGTGTTTCGCTGTTATATTATGTGCACTCAATAACATAAGTCCAGTAAGATGCTCTATCTGACATAAATTCGCATTTACCTTATTCCCTGTAATCATGTGATTGTTCACATTTCCCTGCATCTTATATAAATGCCTCCACTTTCTTCCCCCATATATTAATTGCAGATTTATTAATACGCTCCTTGGCTTAGGAGGTCAATAAATCAATGTTAAAAGCCAAAACGATTCTCAACAGCAGCCACAAATCACTGCAAGCAGATCGAGAGGAAGGTTACTCACTCACTAACTCGAGGCTTGCAGCATAGCAGTGGAATTGAGCTACATGAGCTTCTCATGCAACATGGAAATCTCCAAGAATAAGACTGACTTTCATTTTTGCATTTTAGCAAATTATTTTCTATTGTGTTCCACAGCGGAAGGAAAGTCAGACAGGTTTGCTATTATACAAGAATGAGTAAATGACACTCACTTTTGGGTAAACTATCCCTTTATGTAGGACTCAAATTATAGCATGCAGACTTCAGTTGTAAGTGTGTGTGCTCTTCATAATGATTAATGTACCTTTAATGTGCTCTGCACAAACGTTTATACCTTTAATAACACTATAATACCTTTAATCACATTAACAAACATTATATAATGCTTGACAGAATATTAGTTAAAATACATTAAAATATTTTCTGTCATGAATATTTATTTTATTCTTAATAGTTTTAGTAATAGTTTATAGTTATGTTTTGTTCATCAGATGATGGCTGTTTTCTCATAAGTTTTCTCGTAAATTTCTCGTATCAGTAATTGCTAATGTGTGTTTTTAATTTGTCTGAGTGATAGAGGAAGACAATGAGAGAGGAAAAGGGGGAGGGGCGAAGAGCAAAACTGAATGACTTTTGGGAGTGTTACATTCAACACAACTTCCAGGTGTCTGTTCTCACTGCCTCTGTTGCCATGGCAGCACCAGCCGAGGTAGAGAGAACACACACACACACAGTCACACTTCTCTGTGCTTGACCTCCATCTGAACCTGCCTGAGGTCGGAGGGTGACAGCTTTGAGCACTCTCATGAGTAATGAGAGATGGAGAAAATGAGAGACGGAAGAAAAAAGAGAAAGAACAAGAGAAAAAGTGTGATGGGTGAAATGAGAATTAGCATGCAGATGGGACAGAAGAACAACACACTGTAAAAAAAATGTCGTAAAATTTACGGTAAAAAAAACGGCAGCTGTGGTTGCCAGAATTTTACCGTAAAAAATACTGTAGCAATGTTTTAGGTTTTACGGCTTTAACTTAAATTTACAGTTAAATACCATAATTTCATTAACTGATATAATGTTAATATACCAACCTATTGAAGTACTGAAATCTGTTTTGTACCTTTGTAATACACTGACAACCACCAAATGCAGGTGGTGATGAGAAAGCCATATGATGAACCAAAGCCCATCACAACCAGCTTTTAAATACTAACATATATAGAAGGTGCACAGTGTCATTCACACAAACACCAAACACCATCATGGTAACACACATAAAACTGAAATAATGCAATACACATTCATTTAACAACATTAGGTGTAACACACAACCCTAATATACAAAACTGATAAGAAAAAACTAAGAAACATAGTTATTTCAACAAAAAAATCATCAAATTTGAAATGTATCGCAGGGAATTCTGGGAATGTCGATTTACGGTTATTCACTATACGGTCTTCTTCACTTCCAAAAACGGAATACTACCGTAAAATTAATTTCCAATACATGTAATGTCCAATACAGTTTTTCACCGTATATAGTAGGGGAATTTACCGTTAACCATTTAACAGGTTTTTACTGTAGCATTTTTACAGTCTTTTACCGTTAAATTCACAGTCATTTTTACAGTGCAGATGTGGAGGGGTGGAGCTCAACATCAGATTAACTGTAATCCTGTTATGCTGTGTGATGCGTTTCTGTCTGCTGTAGCTGTATCAAGGCTTTCTCTATACATTTCTTTTTCCCATTTTGCATTTCAGTCATACATTTCTTATTTGTGAAACTGTGTGCAAATCTCCGCATGTTGATGTTATGTATCATAAATACACTATGAATAGGTCTTTTTGACTAGTGTATTTCACTTTTGTCCAGTGCAATTATGTGAGCCTAAAAATGTGAAAGAAAGTGAGAGAGCTCTAGGGTGGACCACACCTGGCGTAGACACGGATTCAAAAGATTAAATAAATAAATTATCATAATATGAAAACAAATACCACTTTGCAGTATCAAGCAGAATAAAGGACTGCTTTTGTAAAGCTAAAATAACTGGAAGCGGAGGAGACCGGAAGTCTTGCACACTCAAGTCACAAATGTTTGCGCCCTGTCCTGTTAAAAAAAAAAGGCGGAAAAGGTCACAGTGATGATATTACAACTGTTTTTGTTTGCCGTAATGACTCATTTTCAAAAAAAATTTCCCACATGTGTATTTCAAATATCTAAAACTCTGTCAGCACTCATACATGTAATGACTTTAAAAATGTTAATATACACCTAGTGTATAAAGACTGAAAATGCTTTGTCTTTGGCTGTATTTTATTAAGAAGGCTATAAAGCTATTGCTGCATGCTTGCAGTGCAGCCAAATGACTATGTAAAAAAATACACTTAAGTTGTAAACCGTGCTTTTGGCTGAACGATGCTATAATAATTCATCTTTGGCCCTATTACGAAACAAACCCGACTACAGTTTAGTGATTATAAAACAAAATGATAATGTAATTCATGCTTATCTGATGATCTTTGTGTGTAAAGTTGTACTGTTGGAAGACAGACACTACAGGTATACAACTGCAGTACACAGAAGATGCACAAGACGCTTACTAGAGCATCAGTTCTGAAACCCACTGTGTAACAGAATAGTTTAATGTGTTTAGAGGACATACATTCTTATTAGTGCTTATGTTTACAATACGTTTCCAGTTGTTTAAAAGCATCTGTCATGTGTTCCTCTGAAATCAAGTCCCATGTTGCCACTTCATAACGTCTGTTATTGAGTTGAATTGCCTCTCAATCTGATTTGGCAAATAAGCAAACTTGCCTAATTATTTTAAATGTCACATTTTCAATGTAAATAAGCACACACAAATTCTGATTATTATACTATGTGCTAGAAGAAAAGCAAGGGAATTGTCAGGAATCAATAGTCTGTTGCCTAATCTGCCTAATCTAGATCCGTTACGACTGTGGACGTAAAGACACAAGTATTCACACTTTAGTGTTCCGTAAAAGTTTTTTTTTTTCATTTTTAATTTAATTGTTTTTGTCAGTTTTATATTGTTTGCTCCATTGTCTTGACTAAATTTACATTTACATAAGGCAAAAACAAGTAATCAAGCCCTTAATGGAATTTGCAGCCGCCACTAAATAATTCACACATGCCAATAAATCTGTCCAAAAATTGCTTAACCCTCAAATGTCCCTCATTTCCTGTTTACAAAACTGGTCTTTGGGGTCAGTATGACCCCAAAATTGATTGAGTAATTGTAAAAAATATATACATTTTTAATCATACAAATAATATAGCATTTTTTTGTTTACTTCTCATCTATACATTAAAGCTGTGTTTTGGGAGATATGAAGTACTTTTGTACCTATTTACCACAAAATTCCTCAACTACACCATTAGCTTGCATGTGAAATATCAAATTTTTATGAAAAAAATCACTTAAATGATGATCTAAATTTGATTTAAGTTGTTTCTGGATATTGATCTAGGTGTTAGGTGTAGAATTCTGCCATCTGCTGGTTAGAGAAAAACTTATAGAAATGACAGTTTTTGAAAGAATAGTGTAATGAACATATATATCCAGCAGAGGCCCATAGAGACCCATTCATTTTTCTGGAAGTGGCCAACTGCTTCTCCCACAACTTTTCTGAGATATATTTTGTAAATATATATTGAAACATTATAAAATACATTTAAAAAAACAGTATTTTTCTCAAAGGTTAGAATTAGTTTTTGTTGTTTGAGGTATTTTGAAGTGCCCGCTTTTGCAACAATGCCACATAAATTTGCAGAAATGCCACACAAGTTGTGACTAAAACTTGATCGCAGGCACATATTTTTTTCAATCTAAAAAGTAAAAATCAAAACAATTTTATTTTACTGAAATGTAAATTAAAACACCATTTGTGTGTGTGTGCACGTGTGCATGTGAGTGAGCATGTCTTTTCTACATTGCCTTTGTTCTCTAGTACCAGGCCTTAATTTCTGTGTGGAAATTTTCAGAATTATGCTGGATTTATTTTTTTTTTTTTTTACAAATGAAAAATATTTTTAGAGATTTTTTCGCATTTCCCATTCATTTTCAATTGGGGTCATATTGACCCCAAAGACCAGATTTGTAAAAAAATAAAAAAATAATAAAAAATGTACATACCTTCAGAACAACCGAATCAAGCCCATTTTTTAAAATGTCAATACAGATAGAAAATGTTGAAAAGTCACAAAATCGTATTCCACTGAGATGAAGGGAACTATTTTTTTTAACTAAGTAAAAGTTGATTGGGGTCATATTGACCCCAAGGACCAATTGAGGTTAAGAGACAGCAGCCACAATCAGTGCGTCAGCCTGAGGAATAGACAAAAT